GGTGACGGTGGGAACGGTGGCAGTGGCGGTGGAATGAGCCCTACCACCCGTAACACCATCATCGGTGTCGTGTCGGTGTTGGTGGTGCCATCATCCTCGGTGGTCTAGCCATCGTCTTCTTCAGACTGCGACGCAAGAGAAACGCCAACGCTGATAACGATGATGACGACCTGATCCAGACTGGAGCCGCTGTGGGTTCCCAGACCCACGAGGCTCCTGGGAGTAGCCCATTCAAATCCACTCTCGACCAATACCACAAACCAGGAGCAGTCAACCCTGCCTCAAACTTCTAAAACCTTGTGGCTTCCGTTCCTGATGATCATGCGACGTGTTTACGTGGATCCTGCGACTTCTGCCTTGCATGATATATCAAGACACTCACAATACCTCACGCGGGAAAGGGTTTTCACACTTTCTGGTTTGGGCTGTCTATCCTTCTTTACGAGTTATCTCATTGCTGTAGTTTTTTTTATGTTTATTTTTTTAATTCCCTATCTACTATCAACGGCGCGCGGGGGATCTGGATCCGGAACCGGAATCATTTTACCATTTGTTATTTTCATTTTCTCTACACTCCTTTTTTATGACTATGTTATATCCCAATCTTCTTCGTCTTCTCCATTGCATCCCATAAATTGCATTGCTCTCCTTTACCACATACCCCAAAGTGCAACTGATGGGTGGTTTAATACTCCCTATTTCACTTCCACTGCTACTCATTCAACTCCCTTTCCTCCATCTTCTAAAGGATCTTCATCAAATATCCTTTGACACTCCTTGTTTTCGGGCAATACGGTTACCACATTTTATCCCAGGCGTCTCTTTACACACTGGATTGCTCTTTATCTCACTTCTCTCCCACTGTTCCAATCATATCCCCTCTTCCCTGCGCAAGCAAGCGATCAACAGCATCTTCCTCTCAAAAGACCTTCTGATTATCACTTTTAATAGCCCTCCACTCTAGATCTTCCTCTTTCTTTGTGATCTTACTCGATTGTTGTCGAATTGTATTTTACTTTTACAATCTTGATCATAAAATAGTAGGAAATTTGATTTAGATATAAATATATACCCCCTGCCTCACACTTGACATAAACATTAGGGAATATTATATTGAGCCTATCTGTGTAGGAGTCGTTTCAACTTCTTAGATATTTCTTGACAGCTTCACCCCAGACAGGAACTTTCTTATACTCAGCCATCAGCGGAACATTTCCGTTTTCAATACCCTCAATTGCAGCAGCAAGGTCCTCACCGGACCCTTCCTCCTTCAGTTGTCGAATAGGATATCTATATGTATGGATGGAGAACACAATGGCCCCAGACTTGGGCAAACGATAGAGGGTCTGCCTCTCGCAGCGCAGGAATGTCTGCACGAACAAACAATAGTTAATCAATCGGTTAAACCAAAAACTTCAATCATCAGGAAGCAATAGCACTTACATCCTCTATATCCAGCTGCTCCAGCCGTAACCGTTTCATCCCCTGCCCTGTCGCCAAGTGCTCATCTCCAAATGCATAGAACAGCCCTGCTCCCGTCGTGATGCTCCAATTGACCCGTTTCACGAATTTCCCGACCTCTAGCTTTTCAAAGTATCTATCCATGCTCTTCTCGATTTTCTCCCGGTACCCTGGCACCGGCTCATGCACACCATTCAACTGCTTGCCCAGTTTCTCGCGAGTGTTGAACCCAGAAGGGAAGCACGTCACATACGCCTGCAGAACATACTTAAGGCTCGAAGGCTTCTCCCTTGACTTGTCACTTTCATTTCCGCTACTCCCCGTTGGTAAAAGAATGAGCATATCCTCGTCGATTGTTTTGCCTAGGGTTTCCAATGCATTTACCAGCGGACGACCGGGTGAAACGGTTGCCGGCAAAACCTCCCCTGTAACCTTATTCTGAAGCATGAACACCTTGCAGCTTTCATACTTGGCTTCGAGCAATTTAAACATCGTCGGGTATCTATTTGGGAGATAGATACCCATGACAAATTCATATAACTCACAAATTGCATCGTGGGCCAGGGGAAGCTCTTCGTCATCTACATCCAACTTCCCCTTGCTCGAGGCGGAGTGAATACCCAAGGCAATATCATGGTGTTCTTTAAGGACCCTTCGGCGTTCGGTGATCCTATCTTTATATCCCTTGTCTATGGGTATCAGTTCGCTGGGCTCGAGTGTTTCAAGCGCTATTAAAGTCGTACATAAGCAAATTAGCCCGCCTGTCTTCTATTTATATAACTTGTGAGGATCAGGAAGGTGAAATCTCACCCATGGTAAGGTTGTACTTTGGTTTGTACGGCCGTAGCTGTATAGGTTCCGTGGTCTCCCAGTTGAACTTTTCAAGCGGCTGTATGGGAGGGAAATCATCTTTGGCGACCACCGTAAGCTTGCGTGTTGTTCCGGAAGACTTCTATAATTATATTCTTAATCTATTGAAGCAGCGTAGGCATAGAGGACATAGCGTGGCTGACATACTGGTCCGTCTGACCTGGATCGGTACCATATCATAACAACTACTGGGAGTAATAGGAGGACGTTTGTGGAAACTGAGTCTTTCAGCTGGACCAGAAATTCCCGTATGGAATTCCCGTATGATATCATGTCGGATAGAGCTTTCTCCATGGCTTTGAACCGTCTTTTACCTCCAAAATGTAAGTATATCAATACTAAACCGGAGTTTCGACAATTGCAACCGAGATCAACCTTGCAAGAAATCGCAGCCCTGGGTATCGAAGCGCCACCTCAAGAATCAGAACAAGCTATGATGGTGTGTAACAGGCCTTGAATATATGAAAATAGCAGAGCAGAGCATGTATCCAGAAATTGTATTAAGAATGCAACAGAGGTGGAAGCGCTCCCTGGTGTGGAGAAGTGGTTGTACACTGGGGAACTGGTGTTCGTCAAGTGGTATTAATAGGCCCAGCACTACTTAGTTAACTAGCTAGTTAGCCGGTGGACCAGCCAGACGCCCTTCAACTCCACAGCGTTAGTCGAGCCCAAGGTTACCCGTCGAGTTCTTTGTCACCGAGAACGAATGTATTATAGGAGGCGAGCGGGATTTAATTTTGTGATATTTACGGAGTACGTCTTAAGGGGAGAAGAAAGAATATATGATAACGTCTAACTGCGTTAACTGGTTATGGCTTAGCATCTCTGTTCGCTTCGTAAGGAATGCATGCAAGAATCAACGAGAGACGTCAGGAGAGAAAAAGGAGTAGATATGCGATGGACTCTGAGGGTCAAATTGAGAAGAACAGCCACCCTAGGACAGAAATGTACGAGTTATAGGCTGACAGGATGTTCATCGTGATATAAGTATCGCAGCTTCGGGCTCGGGGGGTGGTATACTCCTATACTCCAGTAGCCAAAATTATAATAACAAGGTCTTTAACAGTAAACAGAAAATAATGTAGAAGATAGAACAAAAGCAAAGCAGACGCCGAAGTGTAACTTTCCCGAACGTATATGTTTGCCAGGGAATGGGACAGGGCAGTAAGTTAGTAAGTGAGCAAGGGCGGGATGGCGTGTGTAGTAGGGCTATGGTTTTCTTCTTTCATAGGCGCTTCTGCCTCTCTTGCTCGACAATCCTGCTGGCTCCCAGATGCTCGAATAGAATCTGCAATTTGGCCTGCCGTAGACGAGATGAACTGATCGAGTCCCTACCGTCTCGTAGCAGGTTCGAGTTTGTGCTGTTGATTATCGAGCGAGTATCATAAGGTAGCTTGTACTCCTGTAATATTCGGTCTAGCTGGGTTACTGCTTCATAGTCAATACGAAGACGAATACCAGATTCAACCAGGATATACATAACGACACTCACCATCTAGCAGCTTGACCGACTCAACAGTCTTGGGACTGCGGAAATCCGTAGGGAATCTCCCGTCAAAGCACATCATAGGATGTACCTGGGTGAACTGGCTTCGGGGATTGATATTGTGATTTGCAAGGGACACGGCCAGGTTTGTCCGGCGAACAAGCTCAGCCAGCGCCATGTCGTTTTGAGCAATGTTAGGATTCTGCATGAAGCCATTTCCAAGATGATGGGGAACTCCGTGTTGACCCCCATTGTAGTTCAGCTGCTCTTCTTGCCGTGGGTTATAGTATGGTGAGTTCGGGTCAAGCTGATGGCGCATGTTGGGATGATCTCCAAAGTCAAAGCCTTGCACTCCCTGCTGGGCCTGCTGCAAGGCAATGCCAACATCACTTGCTGTCATTGACCGGGGGTCTATCCCGTATGCTCCGCCAGGTAATGCGGAAGTTCTGTGTCTATCACCACCACGAGGAAGCATGGTCGTGTCTGAAGATATTGCGTGTGTTCACGGGTAGTAAAGAGTAAGTGAACAACTAGAATCGGCTGTATATCTTCTTGGCTTTGTTCAAGACAATGACGAAGCGTAGAGCAAAAATATTTCAAAGCAGAGGATCAAGCAGTGTTCAAATAGGGCGGAATTTAAGATCCGTATGTTAGTCAAGCAGAGAGGAGATGAGCAAGAGTCTTCGGCTCCAGGCATGAATCCCGGAAGTGAACTTTAATATATTTCGATATCAAAGGCAAGAATAGCATCAGCAGCACCGAGGGCGAGCTGAACACGCTATAAGAATATAGGGCGATTGGGATGTTGCACCACGTTCAATTGTGACACTGAGCTATTCTGTCCTTGCTGTTGCTTTAGAAGGAGCCGGACAGTTACAGGGAAATATGCTTTGGATAGAGGATTCGTGCAAGACACGCTGTGAACAATATGGCAACACAATTGTACATCTAGCGAATGCTACCTCAATGAGCTTCTTCTCATTGCCAATCTGATCTGCAATTCCTCATACCATAGGCGAGGGAGAAGAGAAAACTGGCAGGATGAGACAACAAACAGATCATACTGGGCTGTCATGCGGAGCAATTCTGTGTAGCACAGGGTGCTGTAGAGGCCAATGCCCAAGGGAGATTCCGCCCGGAGATATGGGGAGCAGCGTAGACGTAAACCAATGCAAGGTGTTGAAGAACCATCTTAGCTATCAATGACAAACAAGTATAGGGCAGGTATCGCTTCGTGAGCAAGTAAGATTCAAGAGTTCAGGTAAATTGATCCGTTGCACACAATAGTTGACAACTCATAGCAATATAGAGTTTTCTAACTATGACAAACATGCATATGCTGAATTGGATAGAGGCAATGCAACAGACCAAACGGGCGCCGAGAAAGAGATCAGCTGAAAGAATGAGCCGGTAAATGCGCTGTATTCCGCACTGCAATGAAGGTATGAAGCCTGGGGAAGGTAGCGGGCAGACTGGGTCCATTCCACCCAAGAATGGCCCTCGCCTCATGTTGGCGAACAACACCTAGCTATTAAACGGTGCTTCCTTGGTTGGGCAGAAGTCCTGCTGGTAAAGGAGGGATTCTTTAGCCCAAACCAGTACTTGGGAGCAAAGAACATCAGGCCATCCCTACCCCCTTAACGGGGTACAAAGTCCCATCCAAAAAGCTCCAGGAACATTTCTAGAAACATTCGGTTGCAGAATGCAGTCTTCCTTCCCTTGCTTGAGAAGTACCTGTAAGACATCCTAAACCTCTAACCGGGTCATACACGTGTTTACATGGTGAGGCTGATAATTGCCCTTCAAACCGTGCTATAGCTCCGTGTGATCAACAGCTCATAGGAGGGCCATGGGTAGACAAGAGACAGCATCTCCTCGAGCACAGCACTTGGTATCTATGAGTGAACGAACACCACGGGTCTTTCGATTTGTCATATAGCAGCAGACGGACCGGGAACGGGAAGGCCATAAGTCTTCCGAACAGCTTCCGATCTCGGACATCCTTGGTTGTGAACAGCGCCCCATTCAACTAGGCCTGGCATCAACAGGTAAGGTGAGTGTTTTTCTTCGAGAAACAGCTGAATCGGGCGCCGCTGTCCCATGCGGAGCAACGTTCTCATCCTGCGCGCCCCTCGCCAACGACGCTTCACTTCTGGTGCTAGCACTGCCGTAGAAATCTATCCCCGTCATACTGAATGCCCTTCTGCGTCCACTTGCAGATTCAGAAAAGATGGGAATTGGCGCAACGGGTCGTCGTCTACCCCTGGCACGACCCCCAATGACAGGTATTTCGTATGTTGCTGCCCGCCAGATATAGAGGATGAGATCGTACACGAGGAAAAATAGAAACGGCCCCATCATCAGCGTGCCGAGAAGAACCTAGAGGTCACACATGCTCCGAGACAGCAGTCCGGGTTAGCGAGGGTTTCCTGATACGGTTATACGATGGGCTGGTCTACTGTGTCGATGTAGCGGGCGGACGGAGAGGGGGGGGGGGGGGGGGGGGAAAGGTGCATACAAAAAAACGGATCAGCCACCCCTCGAATGCGGTAAGCTCCTGCGGGAGAAGAGAGTACCAGGTCATCTTGTTCTCCTGTCCGGGCTTGCGTATCGTTGTAACTTGTGGAAAGCACGGCAGTCGGATAGCAGCGCCCAGGTTATGTATGTTCTGTCTACCTGCCGTGTTGTTTGTTGTACAAGGCTGGTCTGTCTGTCGGCGTATTATTATTTTGCCCAGGGAGACTCTCTCGAGAGCGGAGACATGGTCTTTTTAGCAGTCAGTGTAAGGCTCATGTTAGTTATCTACCGTGTCTCTGTCCACGTCCGTCCGCGACCAGCTGGGGCGCAGTGCAGAAGCAAAAGCAGAGCAAGCTCGACTCACCTGAAGACGGACTTTTCATGGAGTTAAGGACCGTTGCAGGGTTAAGGTTTAAGCCACAGTCACGTGGACAAGCCACATCCATGGCTGTGCGAGGGCAGCGAGATTTGTATACAAGAAGATGGACAGGGAGGGTGTGTAAGAGCAGTCGACCGTGTCCGACGTGGAGCAACGTGGAGCATGAGCGGGAAGAGTCGACGAAGGCTGAACAGCGGGAGACGGAAGAGTTGAAACAAGCCAAGAAGCGTAAAGGAGCGGTTCATCATATATTGTCATTATAAACGGAAAAGGTAGATAACAAGAACCCCAGATCTACATGTGCCACGCTTTACTCAAGAAACATAGAACCCATTACCCTGTATGTGCTGTGGATAAAAAGACACCCCTCCCCTCCAGATCGGAGAAACACCAAAAGGAAACACGGCGAGCCAAATAGTATCAACAACAGATTTCCCCAAGACAGACAAAAAAGGGGCGGAGTAGATAAAAAGGAGGGCGGCCAATGTAACAGAAACATCAAGTCTATAAAAACAAAAAGTGTGGATGGATGAATTGGCAGGATCGGGACGGAGATTAACGGTGGCCTCTGTACGGCGTGAAGCCGGATGGGCTGGGTTCTCGGGCCTCTGAGGTATGGGACTGCCACCGGTCGATGGATGCCATCTCAGCGTCATGTCTGAGGGGTGTGGTTTGGGCATGGGACAGGAGTCTGCGTTCACTTTCGTTGGGAGCCGTGTAGAACGAAGGCTCCTCGGGCTCATGCGGTTGGAAGGCCGGGTGGTCTGAAAGCTGCGGGACTCGGCCGTGAGTATGGCTTGGGAAGCTCATGCTGCCTCGAGCCTGTTGGCTATAAGTTGATGGAGTGGGCGATGATGCCCGCGAGGAGCTAGGAGAATCCCCCATGCCCATGAGGAAGCTCTTGGGCGTATGTGAGCGCTCAGTAAAGACGTCCTCTGGCCTGCCGTAGATGCCGCCGCCAAACTCGTCGCGGAAGTCCGGCCGATCCTTGAAGTAGGAGAAGTCAAGCTGGTTTTCAGCCACGACTTCAAAGGGTCTGTCGCGGGTGTGTTCAGACTTTCCGGGCCGGGTGGATGACATCCTGTGCATGGCTATGTCGGAATATTCGCCGGTTTCAGCGCCCAAGCCTTGACGGGACTGGTAGAATTTCTCCAGGGCACCGGCTGCCTTTGCGTGGACCATGGGGGTGGAAAGTGGTTTGTAGAGGGCAGGGTGGCCGAAACGAGAGCTGAGGCGTTCTACCATCTTCTTGGAGGATTTGCTGCTTGCCATAGCCTCGGGATCGGTGACTAGAGCGCGGCTGTAGTATTGCATTTTGTTGTCAAAGGTGACCCGGCAGTACCATTTGAATCCCAGCATGAGGAGAGGAAGCGGGGCAAGACAGTATACCATGGTCCAGGATCCTCGGGCCGTGACAATGAGGCCGGTGACAAAGTTGGAGAGGATGACGGCGAAGACAACGCGGTTGTAGATGACTCGCCAGTAACGCCCGCCAGATTCGGTCTTGGTGACGAAGATGTAGAGCAGGAGGTACTTCTTCAGCCACGAGTCGACGCCAAAATACAGGGCTGTCACGGGCAGGACGATGGGCTGTAGGGTGGAAAAGCAGAGAGCGGTGGTGACGTAGAAGAGGAAGTAGTTGTAGTAGCTGGCATAGTCGAATGGCGGAGGGGCAGTCCATTCGATATACTTGCGAGGGGTGGGACTGAAGAACTTGCGGGCAAAGAAGATCCAGACCATGTTGATCACCTGGACCAGGTCGACGGCAGCACCCAAGTTCCTCTGCAGCAGCCAATTGACCCAGAACGGCGCAACGTGGATGAGAGCAACGACGAAGCCCTGAAACGTGCCTCTGGCCTGGAGGGCCTTCCATGCATCCTCTCCGTTCTTGCTTGCATTGATGATGACAGCGAACAACTGCCAGACGCTGGAGAAGAGGGAGAAGACGACCAAGTTGTTGAAGACGAAAAAGGCGTAGAGACTGTGGATAACGTGCCTTTCACGGGCTGTCTTGGTTTTCTTGCCCGCCCTGATTGCAAGTCGTCGGAATATGATTGGCAGCACAATGTAGACCAACGAGAGAATTGCAGGTGAGGCGATACCCTGGACGGCAGCCCAGGTCTTTGGATTCCCGTTCAGCGAGGTCTGGAAGGCAGGCCAGACCTTACCGAGGTTTGACAAGTTGGTCAAGAAGATGGCGATCATGGCGTTGGGAACAATCCAGATGACGGTCAGGATAGTCGACCAAATGGCGTTCATGAAGCGTTTCCACTTGAGATTGCTCTTGGTTAGGGCGAGGTTGTCCCAGATGATGTCGTTGGGCCTTGGAGCAAGTCTGATTGTGGTCCCATGGGGGTGTTTGTTCCGCGCAGCAAAGGCAACGGCATGAGCGTCCTCGATGGTATCCCAGCTGGCAAATCCATAAGGCATGGCGTTTCGTTTATCAATGGACTCCCGAACATGTCTGATTTCCATTTCCAGCTGTCTGACTCTGTCGGTATAATAGTCAATGGCATCTACTGGTTCAGAGGTGGGGTGTCCACTATGGTCCTTCTTTGACGGTTTGCAAGTCGGACGGGTTGGAGGCAGGTTGTCTGGGTCCTTGAAGTATTTGGCGAGGACTTCTTCGAGCTTTCTGACCATGGCATCGTGCTCCTTTATCAGGCCCGGCAGCTCTCTCATGTTTCGGCCAATGGATGCTCTGGGGATGCTGGCAGTAGGGTTGACTTCATCGGTAAGCCGCAGCAGGCCTTCGTCCGTCCGATAGTTCTGCGGGATATGGGTGACCATGACCGTCCTGGCGTGCAGACTCTTCTGGTACTCGGGGCTCTGGAAGTAGCGAATACGCAGCCTATGGATGGCCCGGTAGTTGTGCCAGAGGAAGTACATGACGATGAAGTTGAAGGCCCAGGCGCAGGCAATATTCGACCAGAGTGGCTTGCCCCAGACCAACTCCGGGGTCATGAAGTCGAAGAGCGACTTGTCTTGGCCGATGGAGCGGACGCTGTAGTGGACGTTGACGGGTATCATGATGACACAGCCGACGATGCTCATGACGCAGAACATGTTTCTGCACATGCGGGTGAAACGCAGGAAGATGGTGGCATCCATGCCCATGCGGTCGACGAGCTCGTCTTCCTTGAGCTTGATGATGGGCGTTATCCAGGCGAAGATGCCCTTGCCCAGCGGCGGGGGCGCATGGGCTTTGTCTGCATGCTTGAGCTTGGGAGCGTAGACCACCGAGTTCCGCGGCCGGGCGAGCGAGAAGAGAAGGGCCAGGCCGGCAGTGATGCCGACAGAAGTGCCCAGCGAGACCCAGAAGGCATTGTAGTTGAGCTATTCACATCTTCTGGTTAGATATTACTTTATTTCTCTTTTTATTCTCTGTAATGGGGAGAGGTGGAAGGCCAACCTGGGAGGTGAAGGGATTTGAGATGAGCTTCAGGAACTCGTCGGCACCAGAAGGAGGACCATCACGCTGAGCGAGTCCCCCCATCGTCTCGGCGTCTCTGAGCAGAAGACGACGAGGACAGCAGCGTCAGTCACTGTCCGCTCCCGGCGAGGTCGTTGCTGGAGGCGAGGATAGAGATTCGGCGGATCTATGGGGTAGCAGGCATGAAGACTCGACCAGAGCAAAGAGAAAAAAAAAAAAAAAAAAAAAAAAAAAAAAAAAAAAAAAGAGCACAACACAAAGCCAGAAAAACAAAAACGAGTGACGTGAGAGCCGGAAGTCCCTAGACCAGCCAGGTCATTCTTGTAAGTCAGTCAGGCAGGCCAGTCAGCGAGGAGGGCGTAGCGAGGCAGCGCTGGCGGGTTGGAGGACTCTGGGTCGGTTTGGCAGCGGTGATGGGGAAAAGAAAACGAACGGTTTGGAACGAGAAGGGAACAAAACAAGAGCGACGACGAGATAAGATGAGATGAAACGAGGGGACGAGCAATAGCAGGCAGTGCTATTAGTTATGGCTATCTGGTCTATGTATACGCAGCAGCGAACTAGCAATCACCAGGTCAGGCCTAGACGCCAGCCATTGGCGAGGGAGCGAGGCAGAGGCAGAGGCAGAGGGCGCTGGCGGAGCTGATGATGAAGCTGAAAGAAAGAGAGAAAAAGCAAAGAAAGACAAGACAGACGAGGATCTGCTGATGGATTGCAGCTAACAATGCAGAGAAGATGACGATGAGAAGGAGAAGAAGAAGATGAAGAAGATGTTGAGTTGAAGATGCAGTTCTTATGGACGTTGATGTCTACGCCGTCTTCATCTACCGTCGACGTCTTTTGCTGGCTTTTTGCCTACTGCGTTCTGGCCCTTTTTAGCCGTTTTTGGGGACTCCACCGGCTGTCGGGCGAGCCTTGAGTCGAGAAGCAGAAGAAGAAGCAAAGAGAAGAGAGGAAAAGAGAGAGAAAGAGCAGGAAGAAAAGGCTGGTCGACGGTCGAGAGTTGCTGGTTGGCGGTCAAGTTGGCTGCCAGCGTCCCCTGGCTTGCTCCTGAGGCAGAGGGCTTTTCACCCCCGAGTCCTGCCTGAAGCCATCGCTGCCGGGAAAGAGACTCAGAAGACAGCAAGAAGCAATAAGCAGAGCAGAAGCAGAGGAAGCAGAGAGCAAGGAGTGCTGGCTGAGGCAGTGCTGGTCCGCCTGCAGGCCAGGCAGAGAGTAACAGCCGCCGATGGTCGCCACTACGACTGTGACTACGAGATGTCACTACCATCCTGCAGTCTTTGATAGCACGAGCAACAGTCAGTGCAATGCAAGAGTTGTCCCTGCAGTCGATGGATGATGATCTGCAGCTGCGTCATCAAAGCAGTCAAAAGTTGATGCTACACTGGCATCTCTCGGAGCAGCCCTTACCCAAGCGGTTATTTATAGAGATAATATATATGGAGAGACGGTGGGAACTCATGTCTCAGATGGAGACGCCTTTTCTCCACGGATAAAAGATAAATGGTTCATGCAGGGTTCGGCTTCCTTAAGGCATTGATATTAACCCTGGTAGATTAGACGCTTTACTATTTTAGTTGAGAGGTGGTAAAGTGGTAAGGTTAAGGTATATTTTTTTTTGCAGAAAGCTGGGGTAGTTAGTTACTGAGTGTTACAAAAGACTAGCTGTTTTAAAAATATGTACTCGGTAGAAGACTTTTGGCACACATTCGCTGTTTTCTTGTTTAGTTTTGCTCGTTTGTTTAACTCGTTTATTTCTGGTTGGTGGTGTTGAAGTCGTCAAAGGCAGTGTGCAGGCGCTGGGACATGGCCTTCTCGCCCTCGCGTACCCAGACACGGGGGTCAAAGTACTTCTTGTTAGGCTTGTCCTCGCCGTCAGGGTTGCCGACAGCGCTCATCAGGTAGTCCTTCTTGTTCAGGACATAGTCACGCACGCCGCTGAGGTAGGCATACTGCAGGTCGGTGTCCAGGTTGACCTTGACGACACCGTAGCTGATGGCCTCCTTGTACTCGGCCTTGGTGGAGCCGGAGCCGCCGTGGAAGACGAGGAAGACGGGCTTGTCCTTGTTGGAGCCGGTCTTCTCCTTGACGTGGGCCTGGTGCTTGGACAGGAGCTCGGGGTGAAGTCGGACGTTGCCGGGCTTGTAGACACCGTGGACGTTGCCGAAGCCAGCGGCAATGGAGAAGTAAGGGCTGATGGGGGAAAGAGTGTTGTAGATATTGAGGATGTCCTCGGGCTGGGTGTAGAGGGAGTTGTTGTCAACGTCCTCGTTGTTGACACCGTCCTCCTCGCCACCGGTGATGCCGATTTCCTGTCGTTCACGTTAGAACTATTAACAATGACAGCAGAACAAGAAGAACAGGACAAGACAAACTCACCATCTCGAGCCACTGCTTCATTGGGGCAGCACGCTTGAGGTACTTGGCAGTAGTTTCAATATTCCACTGGACCTCCTCCTCGGAGAGATCGATCATGTGGCTGGAGAAGAGGGGCTCGCCTTGCTTCTTGAAGTAGGCCTCGTCGGCATCCAGCATGCCGTCGAGCCATGGGAGCAGCTTCTTAGCACAGTGGTCGGTGTGCAGGACAACTGGGATGCCGTAGCTGGGGGCAATGGCGCGGATGTACTGGGCTCCTGCGATGGCTCCGGCAATAGAGGCTTCCTGGTTACCGTTGGCAACTCCCTGGATCCAAAATCGTTAGCCGTCACGGCCCCTCAAGGCCAAAACTGGCTATGTCTGCGAAGAGCTCACCTTTCCGGCAAAGTAGGCAGCACCGCCCTGGGACATCTGGAGAATCAGGGGGCAGTGCTTGTCACGGGCAGCCTCGAGAGCGGCCACGACCGTCGATGAGGAGGTCACATTCTACCCAACAGCAGCGTCAGCCATCGATCTCCTCTCCTTCATTTCCTCCTATCCACGGTATTATCACGCCTACTTACGACGGCGGGAATGGCAAAGGTGTGCTGCTGAGCGTACTCGAACAACCTGAGGACGTCGTCGCCGACAATAACGCCGGACTTGCGGGATAGAATCTCCTGGACACCCATTTTTGTAGTGATTTTTTCTTTTCTAACTAGAGGAGAACAGTCAGACTATCGGCCTCTTGAATCAATTGAGACGGTATATGAGAGAGAGAGAGAGAGCAGAATGCGAAAAGGCTGTTGTTGTTCGCTGCTCGTTCTTGTCGAAAACGAGGGATAAAAAAACCCCGCCACGGCAAACTGCGCTCTAAGCTAAGCAACCAACTAGCTATGGCGGGGCAAGGAGGGAGCAGCAGAACAAAGACGCGGGCAGGACAGCAGCTCGACGTACCTAAGAGACTGGCTTGCTTGCTTGCTTGCTTGCTTGCTTGCTTGCTTGCTTGCTTGCTTGCTGGGAGAATCAAGATGCGAAGAGCAGTGTTGAAAGTAGAGAGAGAGACAGCAAAGGGGAAAAAGGAGACGGAGTCGTTGATTTTATTCTGTCTCTCCTTGTTTTGATTTCGTCATGCCCGACAAGCAAAAAAGCCGACGGTTTTTCGTTCTCCCTCGCCGCAATTCCGAAATTCCCCGCGTCCTTCCCTCTTTTTTTCTTGCTATTATTATATTAATAGTGGTCTAACCGGCCGTTGCCATGGGCTTGCTGCTTGATGTTGATGTCGAACTCAAGAACTTGTCGACCGGCTCGGCTGGCGGGCCTCTACGTGCTCTACGTTTCTGCCTTTTGGCTGGGCTGTCAATCTAGCAACGGCATTGTGAACCGACGGTCGATTATATAGAGCGCCTCATCGGAATCAACACCGCCTAAGAGGGATACCTTCACGCCGGACACTGACCCTCCGGCCCCAACACACAAGGAGCGGCGGCGAAAGGGATCGAAGCCTGACGTCCTTTCCACCGTTCCCGCATCCCGTGGGTATATCGACACAGACCGAAGATAAGCGGCGGGAGGTCCTTTGGCGGGCTCGACCTGTGACGGGGCTGCTTCCTGGTTAAAGATTTAGATGGAGAGACAACCCCCCACAGATCCGCCGTGGGTGGGCTGGAGCAGCATCTGGGCCATTGGCACCCGTGATTGGCACTCCGTACCAGCCCTGAAACCGCTGAAAGTCCTGCAGTGATGTCAATAATAGAGTACCCTTACTTATGCAAGGCCAAGCTAGGAAACGTGGTGGTCACCATTTATTCACCATAGAATTTCCTGCATGGACGGCTTGCGTCCGAGGCTGTGATGGCAGGCCTGGACTACCAATTTTGTAGGCGGGGACCAAGTCAATGTGGCATCCTGTCTGGTCATTGTCACATCCTGCAGTTAGCAGACATCCCTCGCTGCTCAGTGGAATGAAAGCTCATCGGCTTCGTCGCTTCACCGTCGCTTCTTCGAGTTTGATATTCGAGAAGAACAGCTTCGAGATGCTGACTAAGATACACTGGCCAATAGCACTACAAAATTATACAGCCAATGAGCGGAGAGCCATTCTCAGTTAACCAATCATATCCACTTTATTGTGCTTATTAACCAAATTACATAAGTGGCCCGGCCCGAGATGACATGTCCATCACACAGACAGCAACGACATAGATATCCAGCTCGATATTGACATGTAGGAACAGCCGATATTCGACCATTCCTCCAAAGCCAGCTCAATAATTCCATATTACCGTCTCCAGACCCAATTCTTATATGACACACTCTCTGTATACCCATATCTCACCATTGCAATGGAAGCCAAAATACAGCGACGGCCAGCAGCCCTATCAACACTGCCACCGGAGATTATAACCATGATAACCAACCACCTCTCACCGGTTGATACGGCCTGCTTCGCACTATGTAACCATGCAACTCTTTTCGTCCTTGGCCGTGACGTGTGGGACACAGTGGACGCGTTTCCCAGTGACCGGAAGGTGTTTCTAAACCGCCTGGCAGCTGATATGCTACTATTTTACTTCTGCCACGTTTGTTCTATTCTCCATCATAGGGATCGCTACAGTCTTCCTGCACCAACGTTCCTCAGGCGATTCTCGAACCTTTTTTATCACGAAGTTGGATCCCTCCGTCCATTCTTCGTGCACCCAGAGCAGGCTACTTTTTATTCCTTCTACTTCTACCACCTGCAACTCGCTATGAAGAGACACTATTATGGACCGGAACAGGGTATTTCGACCGATTCCTTACAATTTACTGAAGTTTATGTCGAACCACAGTGTCATGCCACTTCCTTATTATCTGTTGAAGCCCGGATTTGTTCTGGTCCTTGTCTATGTCTGCGGGTTCAATCCTGAGCTGCAGTAGAGTCTCGGAGTGTTGACAGGTTCATTCGAAAGATTGGCTTCGTATGTCTCTGTGACCATATTAGAATGGGGTTCGAAAACCCCTTGCTGCCGCAATTGGTGAGGTCGGCTTTTGTTAAATTCCACGCATATAGGCAGCGCGGAGTTCCTGTTGAACCGGATATATTCATCTATCGAGCTTGTGGTACTGACTACCAGGTTAAAGTGAGGGCTCTTGACAGGAATGGATTGGCGCTGGTCACTACTAAATGGATAAACCTTGGAGATGGCCTTGACCCTGAGGATATCCGGTGGAAGAAGAATAGCGAGAAATAGCGTGCCGTCGACCTGGAACCTGTAAAGTCATCTAAGGAGAATGTATCCCTGTTTGAGGATACAGAAGGCCCGTAACTGGCATCATTAATCGAGAAGAACGAATCATACTTACTCAACAATAATTATAGATATTCGCTAGGTCATTTGTGGCCCGGAGCCTGGATGACGCAGGGCGGAAAGCATCTTCGGTGGTACCATTTCTATTACTATTTCTGTTATAAAGAGGTCGGAACGATCGTCAACTTCTACATGGACCCGCCACTGTGGACTGGTGCCATTGCGCTTTACCTTGCGGTTTTTTTCATTTATTACTGCAATCTACAAGGACTCTTTTAACGGCATGCGTTTTGCCTACCCATTTCTCTTTCGGATCATTACTTGCCTCCAACAGGGACTCTTGCTGCCTATTATGTAGGCCTCATTATTTACATATCGTCATAACTTTATGTCTGATCTAAAGAAGGATCGATCTCCGGATTGTTCTGTCTTGCTATCAGTTCTGGAAAGAGCTGATAACACGGATACTTATATCATCATCATCTTCTTCTTTTTCTTCTTCTTCTTCTGTTCTGTTGTCCCAATCTATTTCATCCTCTGTCAAAAGCAACTCCATGACATTTCGATATCTCCATACCGTGGCTCTTTTTGCAATAAAAACAGCCAGTGAACCGTCAAATACCAATATAACCCTGCTGAAAATACGCTTTCGTCACAAGAGCTCCTCCATTCCCTCGGCCATCTAGTTTCTATTACGAATATGACGCGTTCTGCGTAACAATGCCACCCCAAACGTGATTCATACATTGACATTATTCTGCTTTAATGACCGGCAAAAGGGAAACTACCTGGGATAAACTGCAAACGGGGGCAGTCTGGCTACAAGCCATATGGCCGATCCTAAAGACAGTTCTGCTACCGGAGAGTTGTGGATTACGGCGTGAGCTCATATGTCATACGATGGTCAGGTTTCTAAGCAGGAATCGGTATCTAAACATAGACATACAAATCAATCTCCCCTGGCCATGAGATATATATAGTAATGCTTCATCTGTGTAAATGCATATGTGCAATGGTAACAAGTATCCAACAGTAAACGACTGATGGGCCATGGAAAGCGAGGAGCCGAACGAAAAGCGAAAAATAGGAGAATTAAAAAAAAAAAAAAAAAAAAAAAAAAAAGCCATATGATATCATGCCTCATCGCTAGGTCGCTCCAGCTCATAAAATAATAAGTAAACTTCCTTCTGCATGTTCAAAACGTCAGTTGTCTTACATTCCCTAATTTTCTCATCACTGATACGCCACCAACGTTCGTTTGGTTTCTTCTTCCATCTGAACCTAGACGATGTTGATGGTCGTGGCGATTCAGGAGAAGGGGTAGGTGCATTGTTTCTTCTGGTGGAGGTTGAATCCCGCTTTGGCGAGAGAAGGTCCCCTGGTAGAGCTGCATCTATGTGCCGTCTGATGGAAGACGAGGAAGTAGAAGGCGCTCTATCTGGAACACCGGACTGGGTGTCTGACATAGATTGCGACTGGGAGTGTGAGCGAGGTTGTTCGGGAGATAGATGTGGTGCAGACATCTGTGCTTGACCTGAGGCAGGCCGGGAAGGTATAGAGGATGTCGTAGCGGTGTCTGTGGGTGTGCCTCCTGCGGCTGGGAATGAAGATGTTGATGTAGTGGTAGATGGGGATCTGGAGACGGGCGACATGTTCAAGGGGGTGATGTCGTCTGTGGCTTGTTTTGAGGAAGAAGAGGGTTTCATGCGTGGACTAGGGAAAGTAGATGGGTTCTGGCTCTGTGACCGGCTTTGAGCGTATGAATGGAAAGCATCCGGTGTTGAAAAGGGCGCGTAGACGTGGTTCCGTCTAAAGGACTCGTAGTGGCCGCTGTTATGGCTTCCCTTGTGGCAGACAATGGCAAGCAGTTTGTACCATTTCTTCTCGAGAATACCACCCAGGGCTAGACGTTCGGGGAATGAAACTTTGGCTGCATTTTTGGTAGAGAATGCATGGTCGAATATTGACCTAGAGAGATGGATAGCAATCACCTTGGGAAACACGGTGATTCGCATGTGTTTTGCTATCTTGCGGCGAGGCACTTCCGACGGACTGGGCATGGTGACGCCCTCGGGGATGATTTCGGGGTCGTTTTCAATAGCATTCTTAAGAAGCGCTATCTCGTTACTTAGTAATTCCTGTGTCTTTTCTGACGAGGTACGGGATCGGGCCTTGACTTTCTGCTCAAGGGTATAGATGAGCTGGCATCTCTCACAGCGAAAATCGTCAATGAATTCCGTCTTTAAAAGTCCGTCGAAACAAGAGCTCAAAGTCGCCGAGCTCTTCTGGGGGACTTGTAGGGTCAAGTTGACAAAAGTTGTCTGCTTCGGTTTATACTTATATTTGCAGTGCTGGCATTCAATCTGGGATTCGAGCATTCCTTCGAGAGGGAAGCCGTTCTCTGATTCGGTAACAGACTCGGCATGAGCGAGCTCTATCGTTGGCATGGCAGCACTCGCATTCTCGCCGTCGATCTCTTCCTTCGACAATTCCTCACTACCATTGGCCATGGGTAAAGAGGTAGAAGCAGTGGCAAGCTTGTTCCTGAGAGCTCGCTTCCTCGCCCTCTCACCGGCATGATACTCATCACACAGGCGCTCAACCACAACTTGTAAGAACTCCTGTGCATCCTGCTGACTCCTACTTATCCTCGTTCGGAAAGCGAGTTCCAGGGCAATCACAAACGCTCTCGCAGATATGGTCTTCTTGTATATCGGCCGCTCATTCAACCCGTCCAGCATATCCTTCAACGCCCTCGTAACCGGCGCAAGCTGCAGCTTCTGCACCTTCTCCGCATCCTGACCGGCCCTGAGGTCTTCTGCCGGTGGCAAGGCATCGTATATCTCAGCGCCTTCGAGGTCTCGCTTATGTAGTTCGCGGATGAGGTATACTCGCAGCTCGCCTAGGCCCGCCAGGGCTTGTAGAACAGAGTTGATAAAGCAGTCATTGGCCGGGTTGGACAGACCAACGATGCCCTTCTTGCGTCCGCTAATGTTGGAATCTTCGCCGTCAATCGTGAAATTGGGTCCGAACACGTAGAAGAGGGTGATGGCAGCCAGAGACGCCCCAGCAGCGTAGGCTGCTATCGTGGCTGGTTTCTCGGGCATAAAGAGTTTCGATGGATGTCCGGACGGGCAAAGACGCAGAAGACAAATGGGACGGCCGGGGGCTTTTTCTCTTTGCTTTTAGTCCATCCTTCGACAGAGAGGCGGGAAGCAGGCTGGCGCTCGTCTTCGTTCGACTGGTGAACTGGTTAAAACTGTTTCGTCGTCTTCCTTTCTTCCCTGGTGGCTCTGGAGAGGAGTTGTCGGTCAGCGAGCTTTCCCCCCCCCCCCGGCTGTTGCTCGGCTGCTGGGTTTGTTGCTCGGGTTCTAGCGGAGACTAGGGCCCTTGCGAGAGCGAGCGATGGAGATCACAGGCAGACGAGACGCTTGAAGATCGAGAGAGCGATCAACGAGGGCGAGAAGAAGAAATATGCCTGGTTCTTTAGTAGGGAGTGAGTTTCGAGAGTGACTGTTCGGGCGTGGATGCTTTGGCTTGGATGTCACTTGCTCCGTCGCTAACAAACAAATAGTCAGGCTTAACTATCCAAACAAGCCAGGAGGACTCGAGCAAATAGTTATCGGTTAACTAGGATTCCAGGGCCGATGAGAAGACGAAGCCGTTGCAGTCGAGATGGCTGTATACGAGATATATTTATATCGGGCATCTTGCTGTCGACGATACGAGCAGCGGCGCAAACAGACGGACTCAGAAACTGCAACTATTTCTTACAGCAGGGAGAAGACGTAAGTAAACCAGCGTCATCGTCTACGTAGACCTGGCCTGTATCCTGTTCCGCGGCCCAGGCAGACGTGTTTTTGTTTGCGCCGGCGGAGGTTTATGCAGTTACCTAGCCTCACAGGCATACGTAGGTAGTTTGGCAGACCAGGAGCAGACAAAAACATAATTGATATTCGGTGACCTGGATAGAATAGCTACCTGGTGTCGTCCTGTCATGTCCCTCCAGCGTTTGGTTCATGATCATAGACCTCGATAGTACGCTCGTTACTGTACACCGACAATCGACGAGAGAGATCCGTCCATCCATTGTTACTTAGTCTCCCCCTTGCATCCATCCTGTTGACCAGGCCTCCTAGTTACCTACATCTTGCGCCGAGAAGATAAAAATCACAATCATGACAGTAGAAAAGAAGAAAGGTAGACAGATAGATGGCTGGAACATAATACTATCAGTCAAATGGGGGAAGCAATGATGCGGGATTGCCGCACAGTGGGACGGTTTATATCTTGTGGTTTCGAATCGAGGCTGTTTAAGCTTCGGCCTGGGGTCGACGGCTTCTAGTCCTGCTTCCAACTCCGTCAGAGCTTCGTGGTGTAGGCGTCTTCTTCTTCGGGGGTGCTGCTGAGGCTCCGCCAGATTTCTTGGGGCGGCCTGGTCTTCTCTTCGCGGCTTCATTGCCATTACTGTTTCCATTGGCATTGCCGTTCTCCGTTGTATCAGCAGCAGCAACCGTAGTAGAGATGGCCTCATCTTTCTTCTGAACCTTTTGTTTCTTCTCGGCTGGTTCGATGGGCTCGTCCTGGGTCTCTTCTTTCTCGTCCTTGGAGTCAGCAGTAGTTGCGGCGGGTTCGGCAGTAGACATGGCGGCATGGTCACGCTTCTGTCCAGTTTCCTTCTCTCCCTTGGGCTCTTCGGGCTGCTCCTGGGCTTCTTCCTTGGATTCTTCCTTAGATTCTTCTTTGGTCTCTTCTTTGGTCTCTTCAACCTTCTTGTCTTCGGTTGGTGCGTCTGATTTGGTCTCTACCGCCGGCTTTTCGGTATTTCCCGTAGATGTGGGCTTCTCATCACCATTAGCCGTGGCTTCTGGCTTATCTGCATCTGTGCTAGTAGAAGCGATCTGTGTGTCTGCGGCTGGAACCAAAGCTATATAAGACGACAGTTAGTTCCATCCAAGCTGTATGTATCTAATGGTAGACCGGCTAGTACTCCGTAGCCGACGGAAAAACAGGGTATAGAAACAGCCAACGCCTACCAATGCTATCTTGGTTCGTCTGGCCAGTCGCAGACGCCTCGACTCCTTCACTCGACATGATCGAGGCTGCGCGAGGATGCGCGGCGGTGGTGGTGATGTCGATCGGTAGTGTTAACTAGATGGCGCACCGATGGGCAATTGGAGATGCAGCTATACTTCGGAGCACACGAGACAGAGCTATAACTGGCTAACTAATTAATTAACTGGACTAAATGGGCGGCCAAGATGGAATAGACGAAGGCGACGATGGAGAAGAAGAAGAAGGCGAAGGCGAAGAAGCGACATCGATTGTTGTTGTGTGGCAGAAGACCCAAAGTTGGCCGTTCACTCCTTCATCCTGGATCCATGTTTTTTTGCCCTCGGCGGTTCAACAAGCTTGCACATCCTCTTCTCCAGACATCGAAGAAAAAACAAGCTGGAGACAGCCTTCATTCCCTGCAGGCGCCGAGCCAACGAGCGGGTGATAAATACGAGAGGCTTTCTGACTTGCATGGCCCGCGAACTCCACTGCAGCGACGGCCTGGCAGTGGTGAGTTCTAGGGCTGCAAGGCCAGGTCAGCATTGATTACAGCATAATCTTTGAGTGATGATTGAATTTTTGTATATTATTTTATTTGACATTAATGTTTTTTTGTCGGTTTTGGTTTCTTTAAGAGCTGGTGGATGTATGATTATGTGTATGATACACAAAGTGTTGGATATATCAACTCTGTAGTTACGCCCAAGCACCAGAGTACATCAAGTGTCTAGGAAGAGCTAGGAGAACTACTTCACATAGAATTTATTAAGATACTGGGCGCTAGGCTTTTCCGAAAGGCAGCGAGTCGGAAACCCGCTACGACTTATAGAAGGCTGCGGTGGCTTAGTGTACGACTCATCTATCGAGGTAGACGAAGTCGATGAGGAGGCCGGTGAGGCCGATGCAGAAGAAGAAGGGCTCTGGATCACTGGCCCAAGGGACCTGGCAGCGTTCGAAATTCCAGAGACGACAGAGGCATACTTGCCTCTCGTTGCCTAGATAGCGTTTGGGTCAGTATACTTCTCTCCTCCACCTTTCCTAGAATGAAAGACACCAGCTTACACTCCCATAGGGAGAATCATAGCACAGGGCGTAATATAGGGAGTCCCCCAGTGCTTTGCTTCCCATCAAAGTCTCCATTTCTTCCTGTGAAAGAGAGTATAGCGTTGAGCCTGTCCCCTTGAAGCGAAATGAAACATTCTGGACCCGCGGGCTGGAGACCGGCACTTCCCAGCGAGTTGCTACCCATTCATGTAAGAAGGCTTCGACTTCTTCCTGGGAAGCTGACGGGCTGGGGAACGTAGGCAGACCGGATGATTTGGCCATAACCGGGCGGTCGGTTGATTTGCTAGGTTGCTGCGTATGTTATTCGGTTGGTTGGTAGCAGGTTGAGATGTCGAGTAGACCACGAGGCTGAGATGACGTCTGAAGATAGAAGACAGCCATGGTATGGTTGAGAAGAGGAAGTAGGAGAAAAAGAGAACAACGGAATCTGGTAGTGGTAATATATATGAAAGACACCGTAGAAGGCGATGCATACGGCTGTGACCCTTGGTTCAAAGAGCGTGGAAACGTAAGCACGCAAAAGTCTATGACACAATGCCACTGAATTTTCCACTACCTTTTTTGGAGGTCCAGCTGGTAACTTCCATCTCTTTCTTCTTGCTTCGCCTCTTTGTGCATGGATGATGCCAGTTTCTTGCCGTTGGCAGGACACCAGGCTGAGTCGATGCGGATTGTAAAAAAGACATATGCTGAAACAGCATGGAAATCGGCATAAACCTGTTATAGACTGAGCTATGTACACGGCTTCAACCGTAGTCTGTACAGGTAGTGATCTCCGTGGAGAAGCTGAGTGGCAGCGTTGCGGTCTTAGTAACAGACTACGAACTGCTTGCCACTGAGGCTGGAGGCTTCTAGTCCGTGTCTTGTGGAGTGTCTGCGGTGTCTAACAGAGCCACAGGATAGGAGATCGTAATAATAACCCCCAGAGATGATGAAATAACGGGACGGGTTTACCACGTCCTCGGGCATCGGCGACTTGCATTGACAAAGGGAACAAAGTACCCCGGGTGCGTGGGCATTCAAGTAAACGATAAACTGGAAATAAGATCACTGGCTGAAACCTCTCGGTGGCTTTGTTGTTTCTGCTGCCGCTGCTTTTTGGTAGACTGGGTTGCCGTATCATCTGGTAGGAGGTCCTTGGTAAAGCTGATCACTTCTGATGCAGCAGCGTATTGTTTCTGCTCAAGGCACAACGAAGCCAGCCGGAACGAAAGATGGAGCAAACGTTCGATGTTATCACGATCCGACCTTTTATAGTTCCGGATATATCCAAGTGAGGACGTGACATTAGGTTCAGTAGGGTGATAAACCGGCAAGAAGGCGGCCCAGAGCTGGTTCGGAAGTAATAGACAAATGGAATAGAAAGCGTTGAACAGCTCCGGCCGGATGTTTTCTACAGCCGAGGCATGCTCTGGAGCTGAAATCCACTGGGCAAGGTAGTACGCCGTGGGACGGAAAGGGTATGTAGGCACTGCATGGCTGCCTGGCTCGACTATCTCGCATCTCCAGGAGGCATCTGAGGCTCGTATGAAGAAAGCAAGGGCATCGTTGATGCCGCCTCTGCCGTACTTGACTTCCGCAGCAACGTACTCGTACATGATGTTGAACTCGAGGAAGCTCCCGTCGTCCGCGTGCTTTGGCTGTCTGTGGGCGGGACGGTAGGCTCTAGCAAGCTGTAGCCAGTCCATCACGGTACGCTGGCGTCTCTCAACAGCCAGATAGGGCATTGCCAGCGCCATGGTGTGCCTATTGCCAAAGAATCGCTTCTTGGACTCACTATCCGCAGCCGTGAACCAGGAGACGATGCGTGAACCACCTCCAGACTTCTTCATCACCTTAAGCGCCTCTCCATCGGCCATGCTACGCAGGGACGACCTGTGAGCCTTGAGACAGTCATGCAGCAACTGACTGTCTGCCCTTCCGGAGACCATGGCATCGTCCAATGCTCCGAAGGGGTCATCTTGTATCTGCTTCCCGTTCCGTATATCCCGGGCTCCCAGCGTCGACGGCACCGTATTGAACAAGGGATGCTCGAGAATCGAGTTTAGATGTCTCTCCGTAGCGGTAGGCCGGGCATCGGCCTTGCTGTTCTTCCCACCTGCTTTGCCGGCCTCGTCTGGCGGGCTGCTGCTGCTGTCCAGCGAGCTGACGGGGGGGTGTCTGCTGTCGAGATGCCGCCGGAAGGACGAGGTCAGCAGGTTGAGCAGCTGCTGGGACTCGCGGGAGGTCTTGGGCAGCGGCGGATGGATCTTTCTTGCCAGCGATGTGAAGTATCTCTTCATCGTCATTATGCCTGTAGCTGTAGGTGTCTTCCTGGTCTTCTTCTTCTTCTTCTTCGTCGTCGTCGTCGTCCTTCTATCAGCGCATCGAGACGCCTTGACCGTCAACTCCAACGTCAACGTCAACTTCAGCTCCTTTCTATATCTTCTTATACGACTATATCTTCGCCTTCTCCTTCTTCTTCTTCTTCTTCTTCTTCTTCGTCCGCTGCCCTTGACATCATCTTCATGACTTGTCTCCAACCTTTCTCGACTTCCAATCCAATCACCTCGCTTACGGAAGAAAGCTTCTCCGTGTCCATCGCGAAACTCGCCCCAAAGCAAACGAAATCATCCTGGAAGCAAAAGAAAGACTCCCAAGTCGCTTTTTCAATATCTTCATTCTTCAGCTTCATCTTTCTTTCTTCTCTTCTAGTCACACATCGCAGTTGTCATTCTCCTCCGAATTCCCAGCTTGCTCCTCTGTCCGCCGCTTGGTTGCGAGAGGTTGTGCTTCATTTCTGCCCCAGGCTGATTGTTGGCCGTCGAAAATTCTCCCTCACACGACCTGCTGCATCTCTGCAGTTTCTCGACTCTCACGCTCTTTCGTGACGCTCTGCTCTTCTCTACATCAGTCCCTTAGCTATGTCTGAGGTGCAATCAAGGCCGTCTGCCTCGCGTGGGCGCGGCTCAGCGCGTGGTGGACGGGGTGGCCACATCTCCAGAGGCGGCCGGGGCGGCGCCAGGTCGACAGCGGCAGCGAAGCCTGCTGCGGCCAGCCAGGAGACCGCTGCTGATACCTCGCATGAAGACGAAGGAGAGATTGGCCAGCTGAAGAAGAAGTATGCCGCCAGTCTGTCGACGATAAAGGAGCTCTTCGCAGACTGGACGGATGAGGACTTGGTTTTTGCCCTCGAGGACGCCAACGGTGATCTGGAAGTGGCCATTGAACGCATCACAGAAGGTTGGCCTTTGTTGTGCATTTCCTTTGTATAGATATCCATAACGCATGTATTCTCTTACTCACCGTTATCTGATAGGAAACGTCTCCCAGTGGGGTGAGGTAAAGAAAAAGAGCTCTGATCGCACCCGGCAAAAGGCCTCGTCCAAGGATGCTGCCCAACATATTAGCGGAGACCAGAACATCCCCCCATCAAGACCAGGACGCGGACGCGGAGGCTTTGACCAGCGTGGCCGTGGCCGTGGAGACCGCGGCCGTGGTGGCCGTGGTGGACGAGCTGGTTCCCATGCGGTTCAATCTTCTCAGGCCAACGGCACTACTTCGAACCTGACTCCTGTGGATGGCTGGGATTCTAATCTAGCAGTAGAGCCCCCGGCGGGCGTCGAGACCTCTGCTGTCGAATCCAAGCCTCAGCCGGAATGGAATACTGTCCAGGAGACTCCCAAGGTTGCCGTAGAGCAGTCGACTCAGAAGAGCAGTCTGATTCCTGAAGGCTCGAAGCGAGGTTGGGCCAGCTTGTTTGCGAAGCCAGCTCCGGAACCCGTCAAGGAACCCCCATTGCCCACTGCCCCAAGTGCACCTGAGAAGCCCGCCGAAGCTCCTGTGGAGCCCAGTATCCCCGAACCAGCCCCTACTGCCGCACCTGAACCAGAACTTCTCCCTAATGACCAACAACAAGAAAATGCCGAACAACAACAACAACAACAGCCACCAGCAGCTCCCGCGCAACCACAAATACCAGTACCAGTACCAAAACCAGTCGAACAGCCCAGACCTGTCATCCCACAACAACCACCAGCTCCTCCATCTGTATCTGTCCCTGCCGAACCTGAAGCCCCTGCTCAACCTGACACTGAATCTCCTGCTGACATCGAAAAGGAATCTGTCCCTCAACAGAAGCAACAGCAACAGCAACAGCAACAGCCTCAAGCTCGTACTCCCGCTACCTCCTATGCTTATCCCAAGGGTCCTGCGGCCGGTACCGCTCGCGGACCAAACTTCCAGCGCCGTGTTATGGAACAGCAAGAACCCGTTGTTATGCCCGGAAACCACGCCGTGGACCGTGCCACTGTCCAGTTTGGCAGCATGGGCCTGAACGGATCCACTAATGATGTTAACATTGATGAAGAACGAGAAGAACCAGAAACCCGCCCCCAGCCTCCTCAGCACTCCCCCGTTGCTCCCCGTGCCTCTCTCCCTCCCACAACCAGACCCGTTGCCGTCCCTGAAACCACCGCCACTGTCCCCCGACCCGCCCCGGGCCTCCCCCCAGCCCCTGTTGCCTCTGCTGACACTCAATTCAACGACTTCTCCCGGTATGGTGATGCTCAAAAGCCATACGATATCTTCAACCAACAGGCCGATCAACAGGCCCAGCAACCACAGAGCCAGGAACCATTCTCCAACCAAGGAATTCCATCCCAACCTGCTGCCGTCACGACTGCTGCCGACTACTCTGCCTTCTACGGAGCTGACCAGTCCCGCAACCCATACTACTACAGTGCATATGGCCAACCTCAGGATCCTGCCGCCAGCCAGCGTGTCGGTGCCGGATTTGCTGCCAGTGGAGCGGAATTACAGCCTCAAGTTCCCGCCTCACAACCTCCAGGCCGTTATGCGCATGCTGAAGCTCCTAACAGTGGTCAGAACACTCCCCAGCCCGTTGTCCCCGGCCAAGTACAATCTGCCCAGCAGCCATCACACCACATGCCCCAGAGCCAGGGAGCGCATGCTGGATTTAACTACGGCTATCCTTACTACACTAACCCTCACTACCCCAACGCATACATGAACCAAATGACTCAGCATCAGCAACACCAGTACGGCCGCAACCGTCCAATGTATGATGATGCTCGCCGATATGAGGAGCAGCAGCAGCAGCAACAGCAGCAGCAGCAGCAGCATTACCTTCCTCACCAATCCCAGTACGCTTACGGCACCCAGTACGCCCCTTATGGCAAAGGTGGAATGTACAGCCAACAGCCTCAGCAACACGGATTCGGCTATGAGTCTTCCCCAGCCAACACCGCTGCCTTTAACCAGTCGGCTGCTCCCCAGCGTGACACCGCTACATACGGGCGAGCTGGCTCCGCTCAGCCTGCCGATGGTCAACAGCAACAGTCCACCGGGGCCAATGCATTCAGCGGCATTCCCGATGTCTTTGGTCGAACCCAGTCCGGCTTTGGCCAGAACCAGACTATCCCTTCTCAGCAGGCAACCAGCGCTGACGAGACAGGCAGTTCCAAAGCTTACGATTCCTCGAAGACTGGTGGCCCATCCCCATCCGTCTCACAGGTCAACCGTCCTGGCTCTGCAGCTAACAATGCACCGCACCAGCCCGCCACCACCGGACAGTCTGGTCTGCCCCCTGTCCCCGCTGCCCAGCAAGCCAACCAGCAAGCTTTTGGCGGTTACCCTCACCTCAACCAGCAGTATGGCGGTCTAGGAGGTCTTGGTGCCCACCAAGCTGGTACCACTCACCAGGCCACCGCATACAACAACTACGGTGCTGGATTTGGCAGCAACTACTACGGCAACAATGGCCGCGGCGGTGGTTGGGGTGGAAACTATGGCCACTAAGCATCAAAGTCATGTTTATGCCATGCTATGCCATAAAACTACCCAGGGAAACGTTTGAGGAGATTTTCGACCACAAAAGATAAAAACCAATGAAAAAAACGAAGAGAAACGAAAAGAATGAAAAACGACTTAAATGGAAAAGAAATAACTATGGGAACTGGTGGACCTTTTTTTTGCTATTATTTCACTCTGTTTTTTCCCTCCTCCCTGACTCTCGCACACTTGCATACCTAACTCTACTCCGTACTCTATTCTGCGCTGACTTGACCTGAAACCTTTCACTTATCTCTTTTTGCGATTGGGGAATGGGGAAATGGGATTGTTGCTGTTTCTGCTTTTTTTTTATTTCAGTTTCTTCATCTATTATTCCTTTCTCTGTTACTCTTACGCGATGCCTATATTAACTTTTCCTCCTTTCTCTCTTACTTTCATCTTCTCTTTGCCATTTTCCTGGGAGCCCTGGCTGTGAATGTGTCTTTTCCTCTTCTCTCTTAAACCAATCAAATGGTGTTTTTGTTTTCAAATCCTGCTCGTCTGCATTACGGGCTCCTTTCATCCAAATCAATATTGAGGTTGTTTTTCAAGGGCGTGTTGCCAACGGGGTGCAATGTGCATGCGTTCCTGCGGACAAACACAACCACCAGTTCAAACTTGGCTTTGGCTTCTTTCGTGCATTCTGGTATGGCATGATACCGCTGCACTTGTCTACGTGCTTTAATCGTTCTCTTCTCCGTGTGCTTCTTTCACCAGGAGTTCGGCTGCTAATGCTCGAACTGTACAGCTGATCAACTTGAATGGGACGGAGGGCAGAGAGGACAAAGGAAGATAAACGGAAGGAAGATCAATCTTCAGGCGTCATTCGTTTCATGCAGAGGGAAAGGAAAAGGGAAAGGATATAAAAAGAAATTGTTTTGCCGTGGTATCCTCTTTGTTGTCGACTTCAGTCGTTATATCAGTCAGCCATCAGTGACCAAAACTGACCTGGCTTGTACCATCACCACCATATCTTACTTCAATGCTGTTGTTTTCATTCGCTTTTCTTGTACCCTGATAGCCCCTTGGTTGCATGGCTTGCATTCAATTTGCTGCATCTTTAGGAAATTGAGAACCGAGTTGACCCTTTCCACTTCTTGCTATACGTACAGCACCAGCATTGGTATATGTATCTCAGCATCGCCGACTCGATATCAAGTTCGGCCAGCTTACGTCTCCCCCGACGAATCGCGCCCCGTTTTCAATAGAATGCAGAAGACTTTATGAAGGATTCAAGTTTTAGTGTTTTGCAGATACGAGGAATGCGACCCAGCCCCATAGGCTCAGCAGCCGCATCGAGTGCTCAGAAGCTGACGACAGCAACATGCGTGGACCTGTTCTTCGGCTCTATCTCGATCCTTCGGGAAGAACTGTCTGTTTGATACCCAGAACCACGTTCGCTAGTTAAGCATGGGTGAAAGCTCTTAGCATTCTCTCCGGCCAGGGGAGCGCTCGAAGGGACTCGTCGGATTGGCTCGCATTCCTCGCATTGGGGCTTGATTGATACAAGACTTTTCCGCAGGCTTCGAAGGGATCACTGATTCCAGAATTAGAAACGCATTCGTAACCACTCTATCTATATGGGATTTCCATATTGAAAGATAAACATGAGCTCAAGATACTATTATGATGGTGGACGAGAAGATGTATATATTCTCCTTCAATCCCCAAGGTAGTCATGAAATCATCTTCAGATACCAATACAATTTTCCGTATAAACGACTGAAAGGCATTCATGATGTCTTCGTGTGAAGGAGTTGATTTTATCAATAACGAGGACGTGGTATGGCAGTACTGTCCGACATTTGCACCGGCGGTTCTCTTTGCAGTTCTCTTCTTCCTTACCACAGGAAGCCACATTATACAAGCCTTTAGATTCAAGAAGGTCAACAAAATTCTTTCATTTTTATCACACCAGAGTTGCAAACGAAACTGACTCATTTCTCATATAGACATTCTCATGGGTCATCATAGTTGGCGGCGCATGGGAAGCCATTGCCTATGGCCTACGGGCAGCTGGCGCAAAGAATATATATCAAAAAGGGTTCGGTCTGCCCCATCAGATCCTCATTGCCCTAGCTCCCCTATGGATAAACGCATATGTCTACATGGTTCTTGGGCGGATGGTGCACTTCTTCCTCCCTGATAAGAGATGTTTTGGTATCTCAGCCAGGAGATTGACGGTCATCTTCGTCTGCTTGGATGTCATTGCTTTCCTCACCCAGGGGGCCTCAACCAGTCTTTTGAATTCAGATACTGCAAGCACTATCAAGATTGGAATCGACCTCTGTACGTTTACTTCATTAACTCTGCAGACGATTCAATTGCCTAACATGAGCATAGACATGGGAGGTATTGGCCTTCAGGAGTTATTCATCTTAATATTTATTGGCCTTGCGGTTCGGTTTCAGTACAAGATGGCCATCGTCGAACAGATAGAGCAATCCAAGGGCCCATGGAGGCCTCTTCTGTACACCGTTTATGCAGCTCTTGTTTTGATCACCATACGAATCATCTATCGACTGGTAGAGTTCTCGGGAGGTCTTCATTCAGCTATCGCCACAAACGAAGCAGCCTTTTATATCCTCGATGCAACCCCCATGTTTCTAGCCCTGCTTGCACTGAACATCTTCCATCCCGGTAGATTCCTTGTCGGACCTGGAAGTGAGTTTGAGAAGAAGCCAAAGAAGGCTAAGAAGCGCAGGAACAAGAATAAGTCGGGGAGTAAGAAATGGATGCTGGATGACGACGGCCAGGGGCACTTTCAGGAGCTGCCCCTAAATGAACGGGTATGACCGGTACGATAATTGTTTGTTTGATCTACTAATGTACGTTTGGCAGCCTCTATGATGTATGAAGAAACAGAAAAGTCTGCTCTCTGCTCATTGTATCGCGCTCTTTCTTCTCTATTTAATATTAAAATAAAATCAATAGACAGAATGAACCCATAATAATAACTCTACAGCAGCTCCCGCAGCCATAGAATGCAATTATAATAGGGGCAAACCCAATAGGAAAATGAAAGACATCAAAGCTTTGATATGCAATGCAAGAGGAAAGGACGGTACGCCGTAATTCAGGTTGAAAGTTTGTGCTACACACCTTCTCAAGGGTGAAAAATTAATTGGCGGCAGGCGGGCTTACAGCAAGGCCGACCCCCTTCGCAGAATCGGCGTGATATGGCGACTTTGCGTCCTTAGCTCGAGCAGAATCAAATCTCCAGACGCCACCGGTCTTGTCGGAATCGATGAAACTACATGCTGATGATGAGCCATCAGTTCCAAAGCCAACCGTCCTGAGCAGCTTCTTGAAAGCCGTGTTGTCTTCGCTGTCGCCATCGCTGCCATCTAGATCGATGCGCTTGAAAAACCGTCTTTCCCATTCCCGCTTCTCTTCAGCTTCGACTTTTCGAAGCTCCCTTTGCGCATTCTCGATCTTTGATTTAGCTATTGATAGGGCGTCCATGTCTCCCTTTTCAACTGCAGCGGCAACATCCCTCCATGCACGTCTGGACTCATATATATCCTGCTCTTCAATGGGAGCAATAGTCAAGGGGGTGGTCTTGAATTTCTTGACATCAAAGCTGTCGATCTCTTTCTTGGTCGAAGCATCTTTGATACTGAACGAATCCGACCACTGGCCATCGACAGTGTATAGGGGACGTTTTTCGCCCTCACTTTGCTTATATAGTATAGCAGAAAAGCTGTTTTTTTTGCCGCTAAGCCAGCCGCGGCCAGAATAGTCAATCTTGGCCATGTATCCTGTGGAACTAGTGATATAAGTGCACTTGTTAAGTTCAACGAATGGGGTTCCATAGATCAAAGACTCAATATGCAACGACGGCAGTGAGATGAGGTAAGTCTCCTTTTCAGTAGAACCTGGCGTCGGGAAGGACAAAAGGGCGTGGCCGATCTGCTTAACATTGATAGTATTTGAAAAGGACGCTTTCTGGGCATTGTATCCTTGTAGCTATTCCTCCGGCGATCCCACATTAGCAAAACATTATGTCAGTACTGTGAGCGTGGTAACTAACCTGGACACCATGCTTTTGATTTTCGATAGCGTAAGCTGTAACGGGAGGATGATGGCTATAGGGCATGATGTTAGCATGTCAAAAAGAGGAAATGCTGGTCCGGTATTTATCTCGGCTGAGGGACGCCTGCATACTTCACTTGTTCACTGAACAACAGGGTATCGCCGACATCACCGTCATCAGCCCATTTCCCTAGATATAGCTCACCCAAAAACGGGTTTAATGGCTTCTTTTCACTTCCTAGCTTCTCGCTCCGACTGCAGTACTGTTGGTGCAGAGTACTAAGGAACCACTTCAAAACCAACAGAGCACGCTTCTGAGGGTCCTGCTCGCGTGACGGTGCGACTAGCAAGGCGGGGTGCTCAGCCCAGTATGCAGAGAACTCGACCAGGGAGGTAGACGAAATTATAAATGGGGGCGCTGTAAGAGAGGATAGATCGCCGTTAAATGAAGCAATGGACTATGAATTTCTGTTAGATTAACTAGGCTCCTATATGGGTATTGTTGCTGGGGAGCGGGGAACTCGTTACCTTGAGGAAGGTAGCCCAAGACCCCTTGCTTGACGCAGGAACGCCAGAGCCTACGTCCTTTGAAGCCGACATGATTCAACACTGTCGGCCAAAAATGTTCTGCTTTCCTGCTGTATAACGTGTGAAACTCGAGTGTGAAGATGACGGAGAGTTGGTGATGAATTGACAAGCAAGTCGAAGATCGGAACTTGGCCCTGGAGCATTTTATATTGATGCTTACTTAATAATCTTTTGGGTAACCAAAAAAGCTAAAGCGCATAAAGAGGGCAAGCGACGTCATAATTTCTTGGCAGCTAGGCTCTATCAGGACTAGCAGAGAGATCGGGTTCCTGATGACGTAAGCGTAGATGTCATCTTTTAATGTTGAGGCCCTCTACTCTATTGTATACGTGGAAAGAAAGAGAAGATGAAAGCAGCGACACTGAATTAATTGTTGAAAAAGCGATTAATTGAGACAAAATAAGCCAGTCTAGGTTGCCCTAAGTAACTCGAGCTCTAGTTGAATGCGCAGTCCTTATCATGCAAATAGATCCCCAAAGGTGAAAAGAAAAAAAAGGCTATGTTACAAGTGGTACCAATCCATGCACTTTTAGATACATCCCCCGCCACAAGGGAGCCTGTGAGTTGTGGCTATGTTGCCTTGATCCTATACGTTTGGACGATAGCCTCCTATGTGGTTCAGTTAATTAAATCTCCGCTTTGCAGGGATGATGGAGGGACAAGGCTATAACATACCATACTGGGGGTACTGGTGTGAGCCGGCACCAGTTTGCTGTGGGAGTCGAAGCTGTGATACACTGGAGGGCAGCTCGATCTGACGGAGGAGATTCACCATCATCTCGGGCGAAAACCTGGTTGCGTCGTATGTAGAAGCTGGAGGAATGATGCTTAGAAGGTATACAACATCTCTAGGTAGGGGTCCTGCTGAAGGAGGTGGCTGCTGTGGCTGCTTTCTTGCAGCGGTCGGGCCACCACTAGAGCCGTTGGACTGCAGTCGTTTCTGCTGTTCACGTCTTCCGGCGGCTCCTTTCAGCGGAGATTCGGCACGGATGAATTTTCGTGGCCGGTTTAATTCGTCACTATATTCGTCAAGAGGGAAGGATCGTTTAGGAGAGTGAGTGTTGCTGGTTGGATGGCGGATAGAAGGTGAGCTGGGCCGAGAGCTGGGCTCTTCGAGAGATAAAATCGTTCTGGTCTTTAGTTGGCTTGGTGATAGAATTGGCTGGAAGGTGGTAGGATCAAAGGATGGGGCGGAGAATCGGTGGGAAAACTGCTTCAGAGAAGGATCCTCAGGGAACAATTCTCTCATCCTAGCCTCCAAATTATTTATTTGTACCAGATCCCCATATCGAGACTCATATTCATGCAAAAAGGCAAAAATGGGTTTGGCTTTTGCAACATTCTTCGGATTTGAAGCAAGTCTTCGAACAGTGGTTTCAAAAACTGCGCGTGCGTCTATAAACGATACGTTAGTGGAGTTATTCACAGAGATGATGCGAAAGTTAACATACTCGTAATATCATTAATATCAATCAGATGCTTGAGATACTCCAAAGCAAATACTTCATCTTCTGGGAAGAGCTTTGCTCCTCTCTCAAAAATTTTGGTTGCGGCAGGGTCCTTGTAACAGTGGTATTCCAACAAGGCACTGGCAATATAAACATCACTGGTGATACGCCCACGTTTACGCGCATCGGCGAATATCTGACGGGATCCGGCAATCTCACCAGGCTTGCCTTTCCCTTGGATACGGCGCATTGCCCTCATCAACGCAATCCAGACAAAGGATATGGCCTTGGATAGAACGCCGACTTTCGCGGTGTAATCTTTTTTCACCGACTCAATCTCCTTCGCTTTGGCACTTTCCTGAGTTGGCCGGTTTTCCGTTTCGTCGTCATCATCATCATTTTCGAGCTGACTTGGCTGCTCGGGTTCTGCCTGTGCAGCTTGTTCCTCGAGCTTGGCAATATCCGTTGCCTCCTGAGCTCGCACCTGGGCTATTAATTCATACAGTGCGTCAAGCAACTTGTCGTAAGGCTCTCTGACAAGGGTACCACGTTTCTTAGGGTCCTGTTCCGAAACTGAGGATAACTCAAGTCGATCGGCACGTTTAAAGGCAAGGAGACAGCTCTCCGGGTTCGCTTCTATACCTTGCTTTAAAAAGTCATTTCCTTCGGTTTCCATGTTATTTTGGAAACAGAAATCCGCGGTATCGAAAAACACCTCTGGCACAAATCGTAAGGCCATAAGTGCTTGCTTGTAGACGTATAGAACTCGTTGCTTGTAGCTAGCCAAGTCCTCTTCTTTGAGAACCAGAGGATCGTCTTTTTCCCACTGTATCCAACGTTTCCAGATTTCAACTTGCTTGGAGAAAGAAAAATCCCCCTCATACCCCGGGGCTGGAGGTAGATGGGGGAGTGATGACCTGACAAGTTCTTTGGTGATGTTTTGAAGTTCAGTATAAGAGCTCCTCGCCGTCATGTAGGAGGGAGATTTATCTTGTATGAATTTGCGACCCTAAGCTGATAGTTAGCAAATGCCTAATAATTTACTACCAGTCAAGGGTATGCCACTTACTGTTAGCTTGTTAAGGCCCATCTCAAACTGATCATACTCTTTCCAAAGAGTATTGACGGCCTGCGTAGGAATACATATTGCCCGCTGGTATGCCTTTCTCAGAAGATCCATCTTCTGTTGGTCTTGCCAACCAGAACCTCCAATATTACCAGGCCCCGAGCGGAGAAATTGGATGTAATCAACCCAGATATTACCCGAGTCCTTATCGATGCCAATATGTTGAAGTGCAAGATCATAGGCCGACGTGATGGTTCGTCGTGCATCGCCACTTGTATCGGTGGTCAAGTTATTACGACGGCGGACATAGTCCAAATACAACGACCAGAGCTGAACATTAGGTATAGATAAAAGACATTTAGTAAATATCTGCTCCAACTTGTACAGTTCGTTATTTTCGGACTCCATGGTGGCATATTCGACCCATTGCTCAGCCTAATGAATTGTTAGAAATGGGGTTTGATGATGTAATTGCAACGAAGATAAAACTAGGATAACAACGTACCGCTGATGGAAATACTTTGAAAAACCTCTCATAAACCTGTCTAGCGCTATCAAGCTTGTTCCTGCTGCGATGTTCGCTAATTAATTCCAGCCATGCATCTGTATCGCCACGAGGGTCAGCTTTTATTCTGTCCTCCAGGATGCCAACTCGATCATGCGGCAGACGGGTCCTAGAGGCGGCTGCAGCAACTGGCGGCGTGGAAGGTAGGGAGCTGTTCGCGGATTGAATAGCGGATCGTCCTGGGGTCTTTGATTCTCCTTGCATTGGTTTAAGTGCACTATCGTTCTGCACAGTATAAGCAACGTGGGAATCAGAAGCAGGAAGATTAATGGAAACAGGTGGAGTGTTTTGATCTGAGGCAATATTTTGCTGCTGTACATGGATGTGTGAAACAGGTTCATTTATATTTTCAGAAAGAGAGCGCTGAGACATGTCTGCAGAAGTAGATATTGAATTCTGAACTTGAGCTGATAAGGCCGCAGCTGGCGGTTCATACTCTGCGTCCCCTCCATCTTCATCACCTGTTGATCCCTCCTCAAAGACACCAATCTGGGATATGGTGGTAGAACCTTTGGGCTCTGCCCCACACGGGGGAAGTGAAAAGGTCGAGTCATTGTTGTTATAGGACTCCCCAGGCATCCTTCAGGCAAA